TTGGGAAGATCAAAAAAATGCATCAAAGGAAATCTGCTTTGACACAAAATCACCTGGATGAGAAAAAAAAAAGTAAAATTGCACATATTTGTTTAAAGTTGTCCTGTAATTCTATTTTTCCAAATGTCAAAAGAAGAGGTGTTGAAAAGAGTTTTTCTTTCTGACATAAGTCCTCTTTGCAGTAATAACACTGCATTATATTGCAAAGTAATGCCAACCTTAGATCTCAGGTACATGCATTTGGCGGGCATCCATGAAAACAATTCTATGCAATAAACACCCAGCATCTACCACCTGTAGCAACATTTCACCAGGATTTCTTCACATTTAGGTGTAAAAAACGGTTTCAAAGTTCACCAGACAAAGTCGTATTTTAGTCACTCTTATGTTTGGGTGTCTGTGTGCGTTCCCTGGATGTGTAACTGGGCTCGCTTTTAATGCAGCATCTCCCAGCCTCAAAGTGTGCAGCCAGAGCTTCCATGAAGCAATGCACAATCTGTCCATTGACGTCTCTTTATAGCGGCTGAGGATGTCATTGAATCCCACTGGAGCCCGCAGTACACGACGACCTGCCAAAGCCAATACCAGACAAGCACTTGTTTTTCCCCCAAATGACTTAGCGAGACGTTAAACACGTGAAAGTAAATTATCTTTGCTTCGCGGCACAGCCGGCATCATGCTCTGACCTCATAGGCAGGCGAGTGTTTACTCTGGCTGGGACGAGCCATTTCGACTTCTTTTAATACTTGAGGGATTCAGAGGCTCCGCAGCGAGGCTCGTCCATCAGCGGGTATTTGTGATGTGCAGTGTTTGTATATTTTGTGGTCGGCGGGGGGAGGCTGGATGGAGCTGGATTGGCTCTTCGGAGCGGCATGTCCATCAGATACAGACCCACTAACCAGGATGGGCTCTCACACAGAAACACTATTATACAATTTGAAGGATGGAGAAGTAATGAAGTTTACTTTATAGAAACTCCGAGTGACATCGGACCCAAATAGCCGGTTTAACTGAAATGTTTGACATGTCTGCACATTTTTGTATTTACTGCAGCCCCGACATGAAATGAGCGCACTCTGGTTTCTCTAAGTACCTCATTGGTAGCGCTTAGATCACATTAAATCTCCATCTGTATTACACACATTTAACATAATCCCCCATGATCCAGTAAATCCATATCGCAGAAATACTTCAGCATCTTTTCCTCAACCAGAATTGAAAACAGATCAGTTTTGCGAGCGCTCGTTGGCACCAGGTACAATGTGCATATAAGCAAAAGATCTTGGATTCCTCTCATTCCAGATAAACAGTAAGCAAAGCAGCTGGCTGCAGTTAGTCAGCAAGAAAAGAAAAAAGAAAGAATACGATCACAGAAACGGTTTCCTGAGGTCGTGCTGACAGCCGTTTCCCTCAGGCGTGGGCGCCATGCGAAGCTTGTGCATCTGAGCGGCCACGAAACAGCAGATCGGCCCAGCACGGCTCAAACATCTCAGCTATGTTGTTGCAGTGCTGCAAGAATGTAAGCCGTGGAGCAGCCGCCGTTGTTTATAGTCAAGGTCAGCGCCGATGGTTAAAGGGGCCAGCGAGGGGCGAATCCAGAGACGTGTTGGATTCTTGGGCCTCGCAGTCATCGCAGCACATTCATTGCACTATATCAAAGTGCATGTTGTTTACATAATCCTATACAAAGCCTGGTCTTTATTACCCCGGGAAGCCACAGCCATCTGTAAGTTATATCAGTTGGGGTTTCAAAAAGTCCTTCTGATTAATTTTGGCTTTTATTGTGTTTCTCCACTGAAAGCAGAGACTGTTAAATTAAATGTAATAGCATTTGACATGGGAAATGGGTAATAAAGAGACCTGGGGATGATAAATGATAGATATGTAAAGGAATCTCCAAACATTTCCTTTTTTTATAGCCGGTCAGATGCGAATATAGACGGCTCTCGGGCCGGCAGCCATCGGTATCTCTGACAGGGCCTGGCTTGTTTATGAAGCTCACTAAAAGCCTTCCAGGAGAAAAACCCAAGGCCGCCCGGCTCTCCGGGGACCAATATGGTACAGTACATCATCCAGGAGAGCTCTCAGGCCACATGAAACGCTGAGAGCGAGCGCTTTGAAGGAGGAAGGAGAGGGGGGCGACTCAAATACCATACTGGGGGTTTTCAGCTGCATATCTCCTCGGAGAGAGATTCGGCTGCCTTTCTTTCTTTCTTTCTTCTTGGCTCCACTGACTCATTTGTTTCCATGTTGAGTCAGAGCGTTTTGTGCACAGTCAGCACATTCTTGCAGCGTAGCGACGGATACAGCAAAACCCGCCTACATGACCCCCCTGAGAGGGGAACGCTTCCTTATGTAAACTGTACTGTTTGTAGACCAGAGGAATTTGTATGTTTGTGCCGTAGAACCGCTGCTGCCACACTGCCAGCTTTTTGCTTACCTGCACAAACTACCATTAAAAAAAAAAAATCACTACATTTATCGCTGTTTTTCTAATTAATAAAGCACTATTAAAGAAATTACCTCAACTCGAAGAGCCATGACATCAACATCATTTTGCCAAAATAATATTTCTTGGCCTGGGAATCTTGCGGTTAAGTTAGCAACGCCCAAGAAACACTGATGTACATCTGTGTGTGACAGAAACCTTCAACGGTTCAGCAGAACTGAAGTTCCAGCTAAAAAAGCATTATTATAAAAACATGACTGGGTTGTGTCATACAGCTCTTTCATCCACCTCAACACAAAATGTTACTTTGAAAGTTAAAGTCTGATGAAGGCGTTTCATTTGCTCTTAAGATGTGTTTAAACAACTTTTTTTATTTACTTTTTGAGAGTTGAGGAAGATTGGTACCACTCATGTCTGTGCAGTAAATATAAAGCTACAGCCAGCAGCCGCTTGACTTAGCTTAGCAAAAATAACAGCAACAGAAGTTACTCTGTTTAAATAAAATACACCCATCAGCACCTCTTAAGTTGACTAATTGACAATCTGCTTACATTACCTATCAGATTTTTACAATAAATGTTAGGTAATGTTATTGTTATAGATTAAATTAGCCAACCGTAAAAAAAAAAAATACAGCTAAAACAATGAGTTGATTAATAGAAAAATAATTCACAACCGTTATTTTTCATTTCAAAATAAAACCAGCTTCTCAAATGTGCTGCTTTCCATTGTAATTACAGCTATCTTCATTTATTTCTAATAACTATGAAGTTGAACTGTTTGTTCCAGAAAGCATTTCAACCTTTGATTATAACAATAAATTCCTGAAATCTAAAATAAAGTTTAAAAAAAAGAGCTCCACCTTGACTTGCTAGTTTTGTTTTGTTTTTTTGCAGCAATGCATCCAATGTTATCATATAAAACAGTAGTTTAAAGTGAGACTACTTTTATTTCAACACTGAGCCAAATTATTGTTGCATCCATAATGTCAAGTAGCATTATGAAGACAGAACTTGTACCAGAGTACTTTTACTTTGTGAAGCTACATGTTTTATGTCAGGGCACTGAAAACCTCATGTATCACCAGGAACAGACCGGCGTCCTTGTTCGTGTCCGCTGACGTCAGCACAGTAAACTCGTCCTCCGACAGAGTCGACGTCCGGCTGCAGGGCTACCAGAAGACCTACAGCCACCAGCAGCAAGTGTTCTCGCAGCAGCAAGGTACTGACAGAGTTCACCGACCTAATGTCAACGCAGCATATGCCGCCGGTTTTTAATGTCGTCATCATTTCCTCTGTCAAGGCTGCCTGTATGGAGAAGGCAAGGTGGTCCAACCAGTCAGCGATGGAGGTTTTGAACCTTCCAGTTACTTCACAAATCCGTCCACCTCTCACTCAACAGGTAAAGTGAAAAAAAAGAAGTGGTTTGGTGGTTGAAACTTTCAAATACAACAATCCATCATTCACTCACATTTCATGGTCGGCTGTGTTGTAGACTGCAGGTATGAGCACTATTTCCACATCAGCTATATGCATGTCACAGTTTTCTGGATCCCCTTCAACAACAGCAACAACCTCTGAGCAGCAACACTGATAATGTCAAGATTTGACAAAGATTTAGATTGTGCATTAAGACAGGCCTTCTTGGTTCTTTCTATTTTAATATTAGTGACAGCCTCCCTTCCCTTGACTTTGCAGCAACATCGTCGCTGCATTCTGGGCTTTGCACCGCCCAAGATGATGTTAGTGAAACATAAATAAATCAGAGTGTTTCTGACCCATATAGTAGAAAGATAATGAGCTGTAGTCAGAGCATCCTACACAGCACTATGTCAGAGAATGGTCTGACTGTACGTGTCTGGTTGAGGAGAGGTGAGACGCAACTCCAATGCAACAGTCTAAACAATGTGTTGTTTCCATATTTGACAATTATCATAATGCCCCCTTTTCCTAAGACAGCAAGCTATATTAGCTATTCCAACTGGGGCAAATTAAATGCCTTATAGACTAGTTTTGAGCATATCTGGGCCATAAAAGTTTAAATACTTGTCCTGGTTAATAATGTGCACTTACAGTATGTCACAAAAGTGAGTGGTCACATTTCTACCAATACTTTATTATATCTTTTCATGGGACAACACTGAAGAAATGACACTTTGTTACAATAATAATTTATCAGATTTATATAGCGCTTTTCTAGACATGGAAAGACGCTTTACACTGTCAGTGATTCATTCACACACATTCATTCTGGTGGTGGTAGCTACGATTGTAGCCACAGCTGCCCCGGGGCAAACAGACAGAGCCGTGGCTGCCATTCTGCCCCTCCAACCACCACTTCAAACAATCCATTCATACGCATTCACAGCAGGCAAGGTGGGTGAAGTGCCTAGTCTAACACAGCGACCATGACACAGGTTATAAGGGGGAATCGAACCGCCGATCTTCTGATCATTGACCGACCCGCTTTACCATCTGAGCCACAGCTGCCCATCAACGTAAAGTACTCAGTGTACGGCTTGTATAACAGTGTACATTTACTGTCCCCTCAAAATAACTCAATACACAGCTAATAATGTCTAAACAGCTGGTGAAAATGTGTGACATACTGTATATATATTTATATTTAGTATTTTACCTTGATGACCTTGAAATCTGGAGTTTAAGTTTCTCTAAATGTACTGCATCTGAACAAAATAGCTGCTTTTTAGCAAAATTATTATTCTTAAACCTGAAATAATAGGAGTTTTTTTTTTTTTGGCCAACTGGGAGCAACAGGAAGTAGCTGTAACACCACACTTACTGTATTTGAAGTAATAGAGTGAGCTTGTCAGGAAACAGTATGTTACAACATTGACATCCATATAGAGTTGTGTTTCGTGCCACATGGTAAACATATGTCCCATATTCTCTCTCTCTGCTCTTTAGCTGCTAAATGCTCCACCATGTTCACCAGCTAGTCGCTAACATTTGCTGTTTTATGCTGGGAAGATTGTGCACTGAGTGTTTGTAGAGATCTTTCACTGAAACAGCTGCTGAAAATGACAGTATGAGAGTGAAACAAAACAGTATATTAGACCGGACAGCTGAACAGTGAGCAGAGACTGACTCGCCGTCCAGCGCTGCGGATTCAGACGATAATTCTTTGTAGGTTTCACGTCGACATGATGTTTTCATATTGTGCTTTGGTGTGTTGTTCCATATCGGTTCCAGGAGTTAGGAGGGCAGCAATTCTGTTCTAATTTCTTAAATGCAAAGATAATCTTCTGATCTCTTCAGTTTATAATTATTACCAGGACTCTCCTCTACGTGATAAACTGCAGCTGCTTTAAGAAGAAACGATTGTTTTCCTCTTGTCAGGGTTCGACTTGCTGCAGGACCTGCAGGGCCAGGCGGGCGGCGGATACAACATGTCGACAGACGACAGCTTCCTCTTCCAGGCAGGAGGCGTCGACCGCTGCCTCAATCAGATCTACTCCATCTACCTGGACTCATGATGGAAACCCAAATATAAAATCACTTCCAAAAAGTAAAAACAAAAACAGGAAGAAATGCAGCATAAATGACGTGTGACGCCCAACAGTCACGCCAATAGTATGCTGAATGTATCAGCGTTGTTCCTCTTCGTGGGAGATGTGAACAGAATGTCAGTGTTCATGGTACAAACTAAAATGCAAAAATTACTCCAGTCTGAAAAACTGGAGGCAAAACTACACGACCAAAATAGGAAATCTGGTGAAATCACAGCTGTAAATAGCAGTGACTTTTGTTTTCAGAGATGACCACAGCATTCGTGATCTGGATAAAATGAGCTGCACCATTTATTTTTTCTCAATCAATGAGGATATTTCTGCCTCCACAACCAGCTTGGACTCCAGGAAATATTAAAATGCAGTGGTTCCCAACTGAAGGTCAATACATAAATATGCAGAAGCAGATCAGCCAATCAGAAATTATACAAATTTAATCTTGACTTATGTTTTCTTTGTGTGAAATGCATTTTTTTTTGTACCTTTTGCGGTCCAATTCAAAAGGAGAAAATCTGTGAAGACGAGAGGAAAATAACTCAGACCTGCGTACGTTGCCACAGATGAGGCATGTGGCTTCATTTTTAAGCCTCACAAGCCAAAAAGGTCAGGAGCTATTCTGCTATAATGCATTTAGCAGTCAAAACACACAGTCAGTGTGTGTTTAGCAGCAGCCAAATTACCTTGTAACTAAAGTGCACTAAAAGTGTCATTGAGCAACTTCCAGCTGCGTGTTGCTGGAGAAGAAACTGCAGCAGTAAAGTGAAGCAGCGCCGCCCTCTAGTGTCCGAATGACAGAAATATTCTATAAACACAAACAGTGGGTCGGTGTGGATGGAACTGACAAAACAAAAACACAAAAACTGCACTAAAGTATATGTTACTCCCACCGATCAAGACATCAGTATAGTCTTTTCTTTAATCTTCTCTCTCGCTGCTTTGTCACGCCGCCTTTATTTGTTGTACAGTTTCCATCAGTGTTGTGTTCAGTGAGAGGGACGTGTGCATCGTTTACAAGAACTTCCCTGCACTCTTTTCTGTCTTTTAATGACCAACCAGAAAATGTTTACACTGATTTTGTAGCAACCCAAAGATTTCTCGTTATTGTCTTTGAACAGTGTATAGACTGTAAAAATGCATCTGTCTTTTATATCTAAATAAAGCGAAACCTGTTTGTATGTTTGTTTTCTAGTATTTGGTAACTAATCTCCAGTTTATTTTCCTCAATTTTTCAGTCATAAATTGTCAGAAAACTACATCTTCAGGTTTCAGTGTTCAGTTCAATATGATAAATGACAAAGAAAGGTGGTAAATGTTAAGTTGAATGAGTGTATGTTTGGCATTTTGGTGTGAAATGTGACTGAAACTGATCACCAAGATGAGCCTCTGATGCACATTATTTCGGCTTCTGCAGTCGCGTTTAAATCCATGTTTAAGGTGTGAATGATGTGAGTGAACTAATGCTGCCATCTTTTGGTCAAAAATTTAAAACCAGCAGGACTGGCAGTGGAGGTTTCTCTTTGCCACCTTACATTGTGGAACATTTACACCGAACCTGAAGGTGAGAAGAAATATGAATATTCCTACAATATAGATTGGTGTTCAGAAGTCTGAGACCACATTGAAAGTGGGTCATATGTTCGTGTAAACCTGGAAATAATCAGAAATGCAAAAGAACAGAGGAAATTCTGACATTTAAAATTCATTTGAAGCATCTCAGATGTTTCTAAGTCGGCAGCGATCACCTTTGTACAAAAGGTCAGATTTCCTTGAGACATTCTGTTGAAGTCGTGTTCAGATGACACTCAGCTGGATTTGATCAACTCAGAGGTTTATTCAACTAAATCAACTTGCAGCTATTGTTCACCTGGTTTAAATGTGACTGAGCCTTAGGTTTCCAGCAGAACATTGCTCACTAAGCAGCGCTATGATACTGGAAAAGATGACATCAGAACTGAGTGAAAGTGTCACATGTTCTTATTCTGAGTGTTAAATCGTAGACTGAAGGTTTCTGAGGAGGCAGTAGCTTTAAAACACTTTGTGGAAACTGGATCAGTTGGATGCAAAGCACAAAGTGAGCACATCATCAGAAGATAAATGCATCAAATTGTGTTTGCTGAGAGGCTGAGAGATAGAAAAGCAACTTCATCACAGATAAATAGTTTACTGATTAACGAACACAAGACTCCAACCAGCAGAAGTCCTGTCAAAAGACAACAAGCAGAATCTCTAAACTTCTCAGGAGGAGAAACGAGGCCAAGCTGTTGGAACAGGCAAAGACAAGCCAGCAGTTTACAATGGATAATGAAAAAAAAAAAGATTTGCTGATGAATCCCAGTTACAGACTAGTGGCAGGAACAGAAAGATGTGTGTGAGGAGACCAACAATAGAGAACAACACAAACAAAATGAAGAGTATTAAACTCACAGTGAAACATGCTGCTGAGAATATTCAGGCTCTGATGTGGTTTTGTTGCTCTGCAGTGGGTCGACTGAAGGAGGCTGCATGTACTGAGGGAAACAGGGAATAACACACTGTTCTTCTGTGACAAGAAATATAACAAACAATATCAATAATGTGGTTCCTCGAAAACACCTTTACATCTGGTTATTTATGCAACTTTTCAATCAGCCAGTTATTTTCACATCAAACATTAAAGAGACCTGACTGTCCTCACAAATATCACAGTTAGCTAAAGAACAACACAGTAGTGTGATTAATAACACCAAATTACAAAGAAAAGTTGTTGATCATTTATTAGCAGATTTGACAACTTCTTAATAACTTGTAACTGTCCAGTTTTGGTGTGTTAGAAGGTTGATTAAAAGACATAATGCTAAATGAGACAGTGACAAGTTAGAATCTACCAAATCTATTTAATCCAGTTCAGTTGCTCCGTTGGGTTTTGAAAACCAAAATAGCGCCAAAATGATGACGTATATTATGTGCGCGTTGGAAACCCTCCATGGGAGTTGTAGTTTTTTGGACACCGGCGCTTAACTTTGTCAAAATCGCGAAAGTTTCAGCACAATGCGTTAGTGGACGAACATTTAAGAAAAGGTTTATAAATCCCCAGAAGCCTCTACCCTTTATATCAAAGATAATGAAACCAATTCTAAAAGAGAGGCAGGGTTCAGTTAACAGAACAGATTAGCTCGGAGCCGGTTAGCCTTACTTACTATCACAGCAGCTCCAAAACTCGGTAATTAACATGTTACATGTCTTCAAAAATAAACAAAAATAAATAAGTAAATAATAATTCAAATGACAAGGTTGAAAATGAAATGTTGCAGTGTGCTGTAGGTGTAAAATATTTTGAATGCATCAGCAAAGACCATTAATATAATTTAAATAACGAGTCAACTTTTATACTTTTCCTTTAATCTGCCTTTATTATTATTTTCCACTCACTGAAAGAAGATTAAAGAAATAGTGTTTTTGTTGTCTGTTTGTTTGTTTTAAAGTGGGAGCGTTACATCTTTATCTTTAGCTAATCAAAATGAATACATAAATACATATTTTCTTTATGAATATTTTTAAAAAATATTTATATTTTTATATGTAGACTAGTAACCAATAGTCAGTTTAACCTTCTTTTCTGTAGTTCATTCTAACTTCTACATTTTTGTAGAAATTGTTCCGGTGTTTTTATTGTCTAATACTTCGTTTCTTTTTTCTTTTTTTTTTTTTTTTAATTCATTTTGTGCGGTGTCGTAGTTTTCTATTTTTTGCCTTGAGTTTTAACTTGACCTTTATTGTTGAGTTATAAAACTAAATCTTCTAAAGTAGACTTTATTATATCATTCTAATCTTTTTTCTATTTAATCTTATTATTCCTCGCAAGTGTATAATTAAACGATTCAAAAAGATCCACTTACACAAGTAAAAGTCAAACTGCAGCCACTGATCATTGATCCATGTGACAGTAAATGTCTGTCAGCAGCCACCAGGTGGCGCTCTGTCCTCAATCAGCCGCAGCCGCTCACTTCAACTTTGTTCAGAGTTCAGAGAGGATCAAATCTGTCGTCTTCAATCAGACCAACCAGCTCATAAACGCTCTCCAGCCGAACATCGTGTGTGGATAAACTTGATTAACACCTTCGCACAGGAACAGGAGGCTGGACCTCCACGTTCCGCCCGGAGGGAGACACACCCTCAGAGCCGGAGGAGGAGAGCTCCAGCCGGCTGCTGGATGGATGCAGAGAGGAGGGAGACGCTGCTGATGTCTGGATCCTCCATCAGAGACTGAAAGCTGCAGCCACAGGTAAGAAAACACATTTACACGCTACATTCACACCTGGACAGCTTATTGATACAAGAAAAACACACGTGCAGTCACGTTTTAAGTTGTTTTACTGTTTTGTTTTGTTTCTGCTGATCATCACTGTTTTGGTTTTGCATTTTACAGTAAAAACCAATCAGGGTTTACATCTGTGAAAGTGTGCAGAGCTGTGGCCACATTTTAGAGGCAACAGGTTCAAATGTCTCCAGTGCAAAACCAAAAAAAAACAAAAAAATAAAATTTTTTTTCTTCATATTATTGACTCAGTAGAACCTCTCAAATGTTCTTAACTTTAAATAAGTATATTGTCACAGTATTAAGTGAAAATGAGCTAAATTAGATAGAATTCATGGACATTAAATCCCCCTAAATGCAGAGAAATAGCACCAGTAATGTGCTCAGTGCACCCTCAGCTGCAGCCCAGAAGTCAGCCAGATATTTTATGCTGAAAAGCTGCATGAAAGCAGAATGGGGACCGTTATTTCAGAGGAAGCACCACTGCCAGAGAGGATGTAGCAACTGACATTGTTAGCCAGTGAGATCATCCATTCTCCAGATTTAAATACCCAGTTTTGGATGAAGGGCCGTCACCCTCGTAAGGAGCAGAGACTCTGCAAAGTCCACCGGTGTTTGTGTGTCAAACTCCAAAGATCAGCTCCCGTTGTCAGTGTTTGCACTCAGCGCCTGCTTGACTTGAACTGACAGAAACCCCAAACAAGACAGCAGACGGTCGACTCTCACCTTTACACTGTTATCACACTGAGACGGGAGTTTGACTCTTCAGGCTTGAAGCTGTCTGAATCGGTGACTCAGATGAAACCAAACACGGCTCAAGTAAACATTTGGACTACAGGATCCAAATCTAGTTAAATTATTACCTGCACGCAACCCAGTACTTTTCCTTTTCCGTGTTCAGAGTGATTGTATCTGTCTGTTGATAGCCATCAGTCAAACAGAAGTCTTTCATAGCGACGTGCCGCATGCAAATGAACACGGAGCACTACAGGGGTTCAATTCACCAAATTAAAAAAATAAAAAAATCAAGAGCTTGAGATGAAGAAATACACGTTTGGGTTTTTATCAACTTTGCTGTCTGTCTTCTTCCTTCTTTTCCATTTTTATGAATACATCGCTGCTTTATGATGAAGTTTCAACACATAAATTGGCCTCACAGAACATGTCGAGTCACAGTTTTGGAGACTTTAGTTGTGAGTCAGTAGGCAAAGTTCTCAATTTAGAAATCTGTCTTTGTTCAATCCCTCAGCTATGGTCATGAGCTTTGGGTGGTGACTGAAACTGATGCAAGTGTCCAAAATAAGTTTTCTCCATCGGGTGGCCTGGCCTTGGCGGTAGGGTGAGGAGTTTGGACATTCGGAGGGAGTTCAGGTTGGAATCGCTGCTCCTTTGTGCCGAAATGAGCTCGCTGAGGTAGTCTGATGCCTCCTGGGTGTCGTCCTTTGGAAGTTTTCTGAGTCTGTCCAAATCAGAGACCCCGAGGTTGACCCAGAACTCAATGGAGGGATCACATATCTCATCTGGCCTGGGAATCCCCAATGAGGAGCTCTTCAACATTGCTGCAAAGAGAGATGTCTGGAATCACCTGCTTCGTCTGCAGATAAAATAAAATGGACGGCTGGCTAGATAGATGTGTGGATTCTAACAGGGAGGCATCTGATTGGCCCCAAATTCATCCTGGTGCCGGACAAAGAGCACAAACACACAGCCAGGGTCATTAAAAACTAACCACGAGAGGAACAAAAAGATGGATGGTGGGACGCCCACCGAGCTCTAATCTGGAATTACATGAAGAGAGAGAAGACACCTAGTCAGCCTGAACCCACAGAGGAACTGTGGGAAGCTCTCTAAGATGGTGCAACCAAGCAGCAAACCTCTGGG